GGCGGCGCGGTTCCCGCTGGCCCGCGACGCGGCGCGGCAGAGCCTGGTGGTCGTGGTGAAGGACCACGGGCAGCCGGCGCTGTCGGCCACGGCCACGCTGCACGTGGTGCTGGCCGAGAGCTTGCAGGAGGCGCTGCCGGAGCTGAGCGACAGAGACGCTGTATCCGAGCTGACGTCTGATCTGAACCTCATTCTTGTAGTGGCCCTCGCTGTCGTGTCGTTGTTATTCGTTTTGACAGTTATTTTGATCATGTTCTTTAAATGCCGATCGTCGAGGAGCCCTCCTGTTTTTATAACTTCTGATAAGGAGCTGTATTCCAGCCTGGGGTCAAACGCACCCTACAACTACTGTAGCAGCACGTTGCCCTTGCCCTACTCCTACGAGGTGTGTTTAGACTCCGAGTCAGGCCAGAAGGACTTCACATTTCTGAGACCAGGGGCGGTAGCGCTATCTGAGCGTCTCCTGGGCGTGGAACCTGGCTTAGGCACTCACTCCGGGAATGCGTCTCCCAGCCCAGAGAGCTCGGCACAGGTGAGCTTCTGTCCCGGGGTTCCTCTCTGCAGACTTGCGTGAATCTTCTTCCCCTGTTCTGCCGTCGAGGATCAGTGGGCAACCGGCAGAACTCAACGTCACCTCCCAGCACACTGCTCAATAGCTGGGGTGTTTGTGTGTGGGTATGTGTGTGATCTTGACTCTTCCTTTTTATCTGCCCAGTCTCATCCGCAAATTGTCGGTTGTGCCCCGAGGAGCGATGCTATGTTGCTAGTACTGCTGTCTGTCTGTCCTAATCAGGGTGCAAGTTTCACCGAGCCGGGGTGGTGGTGTGGACATGGGGTGGAGTGGGGGTGAAAGTGTGGTGGGGTCCGAAGCTGAGACAAATGCTTTTGTCTTGGTCTAGCAACTGCTTCATTTGTTGTTTCTGCCAGATTTGAGCGCTCTCCTGCAGTAACACTGTGTGATTTCTCCCGGTCTGCTCACTCAGTGAGGGCAGCGACTCTGTAGTCCTCTGTTTTCCCTTCCAGCTCAGTTCTTTTCATACTCTGAATCCCTCAAAAGGAAGATGCTCTGTACACCCGTGACTTAACATTTCCCCTTCGTCTGGGGAGCCGGGGCTAGTGCCTCAGTTCCAAGGCCGGAGCCGAGCAGAGAATGCATTGGGCCCACTGCTGCCACAGGCTCCTCCGGAGCCCTGGCGGAGCCGGGAATAGCGCTGGAGTGAAAGGTTCTGGCTGGGGTTCCCGAAATAATTCCTGGTGCAAGGGAAAGGCGCCTTTCCCCTTAGCTGTCGCGCACTCCTCTCCCTTCAAATGGTGCTTTCAGGAGCTTCGAGGCATCGCCTTCAGTATTCGGGCTTCCCATCAAAATGAAGGAGACATAGTGTCTCCAGATCAGTCAAAATACGAGAGATGGAAATGTTCAGTCTTCCATGCCTTTCCCGAGATCTCTTCGCTGTACTCAGCTCTCTGTTGCTTGCCTGTCCTACTACTGCTGGGATTAAGCAGACAAGGTACTCCGAATACGGTTTGTGTGTGCACTCATATGAAGAGAAAGTCCTTAAGAATTGCAATATGCATGTTAGAGAAACTACTCAGTAAACAGAGTTTAGGAAAAACACGAAATGGGCAGTGGCTGGAAAAAAGATTCAGAGCTTATTTTCAGAGAAAGTAAGTGGCTGAAGACTGTTTCAAGATTTATCTCCAAGAGAGCTGTGGATTTTCTTCTTATTAGATTATACGTAAGAAAGAAAAGTAATTGGGCTTTGGTTGCATAAGGGACATTGGTTGCATGAGGGACATTGGTTGCATAAGGGTTGCATGAGAAAAGAAATCTGCTCCCAGCACTGTGAGTCTGCAGACACGGTTTGTTACAGAAGTGCTTCAAAACGGTCAGAGAGGCATAACGTGTACTTACGTGCAGGATTCAGCTGCGGTGGGTAAAGTGTATAATTTTCTTTCTCAGCCTTTAAATTCCTCCAGAATTAAATTTATTAAAATACGAACAGATGACTAACGTTGGATCTTATCGGTGTGAAGCCTATACTTTTATCACATTCTGTGGAGTGGTGATAAGAACGGTAAGTAGCACTGATACGGTTTATCTTTCGGCAATGAATATTCGATAGGAAAGGAAATAGCTGAGCACGTAGAGAGGAAAGACTGTGCCGACCCGTTTGATATTGTTGACTCTTCATACAAGCGCAGAAATATTGCGTCTCTGGGTGGATCCCGCATGCTCACGGCTGTTGACAGGACTCTGTAGGGCGAGGACATGTAGCCAGAGTCGAGGTCGCTGTCGCTCTGGCGGGTGTCGTGTCTCCCACGTTGGTGCGGGTAATTTGCAGCCCTTCCACAACCCGCTCAGCCACGACAAGCACCGGGTAACAGATAACCAGCTGCAGCATTTCCGAGCCAGTTCTGCAGGGCATGGAGAGCCTTGTCGTTTCTCTCGATAAGCGAATGAACGCTTATCCGGAGTTTCCAGCCCGGTTCTTTTCCCAGACGTCGCCGTCCCTTCCTTATCATTCTCGGCTGCGGGAAGACACCTAGACACTGTGTTTCTCGGCCACAGCCGGGTTTTAACAGGGCTCCTGGCGCTCGCTTATCAAGCTTCCTTGGCTCCTTCCCATTGCACCGTGAGAGCTGAGCAGTTGCACGGGTGACGGACAATGAACGCCGAAATTGCGGTAGTTTTATCCGTATGGGCGCTCGAAACGTCGGAAAACCGACGTATCACGAGTTGTTGTTGACAGCAACAACCCCAAACGCAGGCAGGCAGCCCCGGAATAGGCTGTTTCTCGCCCAGGTACTGCCGGTGCCGTGGTCTACGCGGTGCCGTGACCTGCCGGGCTGTTGCTGCAACGGGAACGGCTTCTGCCCCCGCTGAACCAGCACGTCGTAGACAGTGATTTCCCTGCGTCTGACTGGTGGAAACAGGTACCGGGGAGCAATCTGGGAGATGGCGAGAGCAGGAGGGCGTATTAAACCGAGATTTCTACGATTTGTCGGGGAAGATGCCTGCTGGGAGAGTGGTGGCGGTGGGGAGCAGGAGGGACGATGCTGGTGTGAACCCTGCGGCAGGAGCTGCCCCGCGGGGTGACTGTGTGCTGCGGCCGGAGGAGCTGCTTGTAACTCGGCAGCACGAAATCCGTGTCTTTTTGCCGACGACGCTGCTTCGGTGGCACACAGAGGCGTGACGTCGCGACGCCGTGGCATGTCAGGAAGGGTCTGACCCAGCACTTGGGTGGGCGGGCCGGCATCCCGACGGTCCCGAGGGACGCGCGGAGCTGGCGCATGGTGCCGGCGCTGGTTCGTCCGGAGCCCTGCGTGCCCCGGCCGACGCTCCCCACCCCTCCTCCCGCCCGCTCCACCTCCCCTTCTTGCTCCCGCTGCCTCTTTCCAACGAGGTTTTCCTGGGTGACACCCCCCCTGTTTCCATATCGCCCCTTTTGGCGTCATCCTCTCCGCCAACGCTGACACCTTCCTGCCCGCACACGCAGTCCCCGTGCCCCATCTACGCTGCCTCTGCCCGCGCTCTCCAGCCCGTCTGTCCTTATCAGCTGGGTTTCTCGCAGGGCTGTGCTCTCCCTTCAGGGTCAGCCGGCTTGAGCCCCGCTGCCCCGGGGCCGGGGCCGCCGCACTCCCTCCCCGCGGTGCTCAGCGGGCGGCTGCCCCGCGGCGGGACTCCGGGAGCCCCGCGCCCCGGGCAGTTTTTTGCCCGGGCTCCT